TTCTGATTGTCGAGCGCACACACATATCGGAATGAAAACAAGAAAATGGGATGAAATGGGAAGTAGTTTATACCTCAGCAGCGAGGTATTCAAGGACAACAGAGAGATAGACCGGAGCTCCGACACCAACACGCTCGGCATTCTTGCAAGCCTTCAAGAACCTAGCAATCTTACCCACTAGGAACTGTAGACCAGCCTTCTGAGACCTGGACACAGACTTCGAGGCCTTTGGCTTTCCTCACCCACCCTTTGTTGAAGTCGCACCTGAACTTATCCCTCCGATATCTTTATCAAATCACGAAATCCTAAATGGAATTCAATTGAGAGTTGCTTGAAATCGGCGAAAGAGGGGTTCAAATCGCCGAAACTGCTGGTGTCGCAAGGCTCTGTTGAAGTTTAACGAAGAAGAGGGGTGCAGATCTTTAAGGGTGAAATTAGTCAGACCAAAACGATGTCGTTTTGATAAAGATCAATAAAATAAATTAAAAAAAATAATAAAACGACGTCGTTCCACTGAAACGCACGTCAAGCGGTTGACTTCTTACCGTAGAAGAGCCGGACCCGGATACAAAGTCTGATTATCCTATTTATACCAACATCTCGCGCACCCAAGGCTTATTCTTCTTGACCAGCCAACAATGTCGGACGTTCCTGAAGAAATACTCACAACATACTTTCACGCTTACCGGTGGAGTCCCTCCTTCGATTCAGGTGTGTATCAAAACCATGGTGTTCTCTAATAGACAATCCTAATTTCATCAAAATGCATGTAAACCAATCGATTGAAACAAACTCAAATCTCAACCTAATTCTCCGTGACTCCCCACCATACTCTGTAGACTTTGATTCACTTGATAACGTTGCTACTGCCAAAGAACTCAACCATCCATTAAAGTGTGATGAATTTGGAACTGAGGTATTGGGTTCTTGTAATGGCTTGCTCTGTTTATCTAACACAGAGGAAGACATTGTTTTGTGGAATTTAAAGACCCGAAAGTCTTGGAAATTACCCATTGCACCAATCGAGTTCTCTAAGGATTTTTGGTGTTGCCAGTATATTAACTATGGTTTTGGGTATGATTTTGTTCATGATGATTACAAGCTTGTGAGGATGATTCTTTTGGTTCTGAAGTTAAGGTCTATAGTTTGAAATTGAATTCATGGCGAAAGATTCGGGATTTTCCATATTACCTTCGATACAAGAGGGATCGCGGTAAGTTTGCTTACGGTGCTTTTCATTGGGTTGTGAGTAGGAAACCGAAGTCTGATATTACAAATTTGATTTCTGCCTTTGATGTTGGAACTGAGGAGTATCGGTTGGTGCCCCAGCCAGAATATGCGGATAAAAATTTTCATATGAATGTGGAGGTATTGGGAGGATGCTTGTGTTTGCTTTGCAATTATTATCCACACCATATTGATGTATGGGTGATGAAGGATTATGGGGTGAAGGAATCTTTCGAGTTTTTTAGGTCGATTGCATATTCATAGAGTGGTGTGCAAGTACTTTTGGATCAAGACAATACAAGGCTTATTTGGTATGACCTTGATAAGAAGACGATGAAGAATGTTAAGGTTCGTAGCGTGCCTGCATATTTTGAACTAGATGTATGTCTGGGAAGCCTTGTTCAACTTAATAGTCGTGGTGGGGAAAGTAATGGGAAGAAGCGGCAAGAAGAAAAGGAAGAAAAAGAATGATCTAAAGAAAAGGTAAAACACTTTTAAGTCATTGTGTCGCCTCTGCTGTAGCTCATATTTTTATAGTGCTTTACTTTTACCTTGCTTGCCATTTTTGTTGTAGACATACTTTTAATTCTTTAAACGACATATCATTCTTTTGGCAATACACATTGCAAAAGTTGAGGGTTGAATTGCGGCTTGTTTTATTCACCTTTGTATCACATGATATTGGCTTTTGTTTTTTTAGAGACGATTTCCTGTCGGAGGGCTTTAATCTGGCGCTTTAAGCAACTGGGGCTGTGTAAAAATGAGAAGCTGAAGAGATAAGGTAACAAAACTCATTTTGTCCTTTTGAATTTGTCCTTTATAATATTCATTTCTACATATCTGACTTGGCCATATTAGCTAGTTTAAGTTATTTTCATTGATGCCGGAGGGATGACTAGTATTTGAGCGTTTGTGCCTTGTGTTTCTGTTTTCCATTACTTGCTTACAGTTGTGAGAGTGTTTGGGTAAAATAGAGTTTTGAAAACCAAAAGAAAGAATAAGATTACAGACTGCTTCTTGTAAAATCCGATTTTCTTTTCATTTGTTTTCTTCTCTTGGTAAAGAAATACAATAGGTCAAGGTTTGCAAATATTCCTCATATCCATTTCTAGTCAGGAAAACACATTCAATCTCTTGGTAAAGAAATAAAATAAATCAAGTTTTGAAAATATTCATCATAATCGTTACTATTCAAGAAAACACATTCAAAACCATGGGCATTATGGTTTCTTGAAGCCTTAAAAGATCCTATTTCACTTGTAGCATAGTTGCACCTTATTTCCCTTTATAAATTTGTTCAATATTTGCATGGTTCAAAGTATTTCCACTTTTTTTGCTTGGTGTGAAACCTATTCAAGAGAACTACAGTTTTTTTTTTGTTGCTAAATGTTTTAGGTACGATATGTCCAAATTGTGTGATGCTGTGAAAATTTGTGGTTGGCCAGCATTTCTTTGATCAAGGCTTTTGGATTAGGCAATGTGAAAATGCTTTAGGTGGATTCAAATTTACTATCTACTAATAGCTGCTGGTTATCTCAGCGTGGCTTTTGATTCATAAATTTCTACTGAACCTTTGTGGTCCAAATCAGAATTTATCTGATCACTGGGTTTTTTCAACAGAATATTTCAAAAATAAAAACATTCATTGACATACAAATATTATTGAATGTTTGGAGGAAACTTTATGAGAAGCACTTAGAATCGCATAGTTTTCCAGAATCGCGATATATATTTATGAGCAACTGAGGATAAAAGTGACATTGAAAATAGATAAACGTGTTAGTTATTTGGAAAGACAGCTTTCTCCAATGAAATATTCGAACCAGATTGCTAGTTGCTGCATACTTCAATGTCAGTTTCCATGTTGGATTTTTTAGAGAGAGGGGGGGGGGGGGGGGGTGTCATATGGAACATTTCATTTGGTTGCCAATTATCTGGTTTGAGTGTATATAAGCATTTGACCTACCTTTGAAGGGATATTTCTGTGTATTTGGGTAAGAATTTACTCATTTTCAAATTTGAATTAGAGATTCTTAGATGTTTTTAAAGTTGCAAGTTAAAGAGCTACATATATTCCTATTTATTTGGAGTGGGTGAAAAAACAGTCTTGTGTTTTATTGTAGAAAGAACATGAAGAAGTGGATTTCAAGTAACCCTTCTATTGGACTTCCGTTTGCAAATGACTACTGCTTTGATTTGCAGCTTTAGAACTCATTTGCATCCCACAAAAAAAACTAAATGAAATGGACGTCATGAGAAGTAGCATATTTTTTTATTAGTAAAAAGGATAAAGTTAACATGACAAGCTGATTAATGCAATTGTTATTTTGAAGATTGTTCTCTCAATGTAGAAAAATATGTTTCCCACGTTGGTTCATACAACCAATCTCAAATAGTTGGGATATGCATTGGGTTGAGTTTTTAATTGTAGATTTGCGTGGATCCATGAAATCTTCGAATACTCTCTGTTTCGGTGTTGGGTTTTCTTTTCCTATAGACCATTTCCTTTTGAAGCGGTTAGAGCTGGTGCTTTAAACAACTTCAAAGCAGCAGCAGCAGAAGAATGAGAAGCTGGACAGTAAGTTATAAATATTTCCATAAACTTGTAATTGTTGGTGGTGAAGTTTCTTCTGTGTGGCCTGGCTATATTTTGCAGTTATGCTGATTTCCTGTCTATACTACTGTCTTTTAGAGTTGTAAATAGTGAAAATTTGGTTATTCAAGTTGATGCCCCAGCCTGATTTTAAAGATTATGTTACCTAACAGAAATGAAACCTAAAAATTTATAACTCAAATACATATCATATATTAGATGGGTGGCTTTGTACGCTCATAACATTTAGACCTCTGTCATTAATGTCAGTTAGTATATCCATTAGTAAATTATACTCATATCTCTTAAAATTTGTAGGCATGTAATATTTAAAAACACGTTGAGTTTAAAATGTTATACTTAAACCAAAAAATATTTCAATCAAAGATAGAATATCAAATATTTTAAATTTTATAATTAAAATTTATGTTTTATTATGTCATTTATTAAAATAAAATTAAAAATAAAAATCTAATTTTTTGTTAAAAAATTATAATTAGTACACAATTATACTATTTATTAAAATAAAACTAACAAATTAAACAAGTGGCTAAACTGTAATAAACACAGGTTTAATTTGGTTGTTTTATTTTTTAGTTTTATTTCGATCAATAGTATAATTTTATATTAGTTGCGATTTTTAAGAAAAAATTAAATTTTTATTTTTGATTTTATTTCAATAAATGATATAATAAAACATGAATTTGATCGTAAAATTTAAAATATTTTATATTTTATTTTTGATTAGAGTATTTTTTGTTTAACTGTAATATTTTAAAACTTAAAGGGTCTTAGTATTATATATTTATAAATTTTAAGGGGTTTGAGTATAATTTATTAGCAAACATTAATTACAGGGATTTACAAACTTTAGGGGGTCTATCTATAATATTTTAAATATCAAGAGATTTGAGTGATGAAGTGATAAACTTCAAGGGGTTTGAGTGTAATTCTACCTAAAAAATTTTGTGCCTTGCAGGATCGACGCTGGCTTGATGTGGTTATACTTGGGCGTATTGCGAAGTTTGAGACAAGCAGGGGGGGGAAGAAGGAAGTTTAAAGATTGCTTATTTAGTAGTATCTATGATGTTTCTTTTGCTTGTTTTTTCTAGTGAAGAAAACAAAGTAGGTGAAGTATTGTAATCTAAGGTAAAACTGTTAGAGAATGATATAACGAAAGTATTGATACTTCAAGGCTGTCTCTCATGTGCAGGTTAGATTTTAGGCATGTGCATGAAAATATTAATTTTGGTCACCTGTCCAACCCTTTTTGACGTATAGGTACAGAGCCAAGAATTTTTTCTAGGGTGGGTGGGCACACTTTAACGACAAAATTTAATTTTTTTTCATCCAATAAATAAAAAGAATGTGATATATTTATATTTTAAACATCATATTTGTTCGGTAAAAGATTGTTGAATACAAAAAGGTCAAAAGATTTGTATAGGTAGACTATGCAAATAAGAAAAAGGGGGTTAATTATAATTCTTTACAAAAAAAAAGGGCTATTTATAGTTATTTTTAATTGATCATGACGAGTTTTTTTTACTTTGAAAACATTACTTTATTATCAATGTCATTAAATTTTTTTTATATAAATAATTATATGTTATCTATTGATCCCTTATTTAATTATGCAAACTACTTTTTATAATTTTTATTGCTGAAAATATCAACGTTTCAATCACAAGTAAATAAACAAAACTTTTTCAGTCTCAACTATTTTGAGCAAGATCACTTTTTGCTAAAACATCGATCTTATTTGTTTGGCTCTAGCTCAAGATTTCATATGTTTTGCATGGACCTAATTAAATTTTTTTTTTTTGAGCGTGGACCCGAATTCAATAGAACTAAAAAAATATCAAAACTATATACAAGTTAAAAAAATATTTTTCTCCCAGGTTGGGTCACCCCCCCCCCCCCCCCGCCACCCGGACCCCTTACTGTGTGTGATACTTCTTAAGCTAGGTCTGTCGACATAGTTTTAGAATTCAATGTATAGCTATAGTATACTATGGAAAATTATATGATTATTGAGACAAGGCATATTAAAGTTTTTTGTGAAATATGCTAGAAAAACACCAAAGTTTTACCAATAAAAGATCTTGGAGGACGAGGAATTACGTGAATTTTTGCTACACTTTGTCTATCAGAAATTGGTAATCATTGTCCTTTATAATCCAATAGTATAAAAAAATTAAGTTAGATTACTTTATACAAGAATTTTGAATCGTAATACATTATGAATATAATGATTTACCATGTAAATATATGTGTACGGTGTTGTATTTATATCCCGTGTCCTGTACTGCATTACTCTGAGCACTCTCTATTGGTGTGAGCCCATACATATATACTCAATTTCATTGTCTATTCTATTCACATAATTTTTTGACACTTTTAAATTTTTTAATATTAAAATTGTTTTTTGTAGAATCGATACGGGCTTATTGTGGTAATTAGCTAGGCACATCAGAATGGTTGAGAGAGCAGGGAAAGAAGTGATATGTCGTCATTGTTATGTGATACCATCATTTACTAAAAAAAATAATAAATAGACAAATTGAATCACACTACTTTTATAATTACAATTACTAATAGTCATGAAGAGTCTTAGTTCTTTTTTAGTAGTTTTATTTTTTATTGTTCACGTAAAGCTATAATTCAAGGTAGCGGTATCAGCTATCAACTCGAAGAACTCTAAGACACATTGGGCGCAGTACCAGACAATACGACCTAAAATAAAATATTAAATATAATGAGAAATTCAGGTCATGTTAGGGCATCGTAGAACCGTATCGGCCAATTGACAATATTTCGACGACTCAAATACAACTCAAATGATTCGATCGAGTTGTGCAAGAAATTTTAGAAAAGATATTCTACAAAACTTTGGGGGTGTTTGGGGGAGAGCTTTGTGTGATATATGAGGAGTATCGGTACCTAGTTAACGTATGGGTGATGAAGGAGTATGGGGTGAAGGAGTCTTGGACTAAGTTAATTTCTGTAGTGAAACCAAATAATGTTATGACTTTTAACTATTTTAGATGGAGGCCTATTGCATATTCAAAGAGTGGTCGGCAAGTATTGTTCCAACAAGCCACTAAGGGCCTTCTTTGGTATGACCTTGAGAAGAAGACAATCAAGAATGTTAGGATTCCTGGTATACCAATTGATTTGGAGGTTCTGACCAAAAAAAAAAATTGATTTGGAGGCAGATGTCTGCTTGGGAAGCCTCGTTAAAGCCAATCATGATGGTGGTGGTGGTGGTGGTGGGGCAGGTGAGGGGAGGGGGAGTGATGGGAAGTAGAAGCAAGTAGAAGAGGTAACGACTCTGCCTTAACTCGTATTTTTTACATTGCTTTGCTGCACCTTCCTTACATTATTATTTATTTGTAAATGCTAAAATTTGCATTAATGTTAGTCTTTACATTTTTCGTTTCACATGTAGTTTGAGGACTCTTAGTGTTACTACCAATTGAGTTGAGGATCAAACTGTATCAATCATATTAGTTGTTTTATAGACCATTTTGTGCTGCATTTTGCACTTTTTTCCGAATGAAAACATCTCTATTTCCAAATTCCTTTTGGATTCTAATAATGCATGACTAAGTAAATGTTCTCAAAAAAATTGGGAGGCAATAGAAACTCACATTGTATGAAAAGTCCCCATGACGAAATTTATTTATTTTTTCTCGAAAATCTGATCAAACACATTGTTGTCACCGGATTATGTAATATTGAGATCCACGGTTATTCTAACAAAGGTAGTGAAATGATCAAATTTGGTTCAATTAGCATCAAGGTACACACCAATTTATTTATATTTTTTTAATACTCAAATTAATATCACATGCTCACCACCCCACTTAATCTCATGTGCACTAACATATATCAAGCAAATTACTGTAAATAACTAATTAGTTAATCGTTAAAAAAGTAAATAACAAATTTTTACCCAACATGAGTACTATTTTCCTTCCTATCCTGTCCAATTTTTGAGAAATTAATTTTGGTGAGTTGAAAGCAAAACTCATCCATCCACTTTTTCATCATTTTTATTTTCGTTTTTTACCAAATATAATGTTTTATCTATTTCTCTAAATTTCTATCATTCTATCGGACTAAAGAGAGCATTAGTGATTTTTGGTGCTGGTAAGAAAGGGTTCTCAGTTTGGGCCTATAAATAAGCTAGAAAAGAGAGTGCAATAGAGTTGATAGATTTGTTATCAATACCCACTTGCATTAGCATAGATTGATCTGGAGTGATACCAAATTGAGGGGTTACAAGGCTTGTCTAATCGGGGGATTACAAGGGTAGAGCAAAGGTGATTAAATCCTTCATCATCTTTTTAATCCTTTACAAAGCAAAATGAAAGAGAGAGAAAGAATATAAATCCAACAATCTAGCATGAATTTTCTGGGCATCATCAGCAGTATCATAAATTGCGCCACAACATCAACAAATAACGTTACTCGTTGAAATTTTTTTCAAGAACTTATATAAATGAAACCATTACAAACATACTGTCTACAATTGCGTCTGTGAGCACTGTCGCTTTCAATTAAAGGCCCTTATTCCGCATCTTCATCAGTTGGTGGATTCTCTACCTCGATCTCACTGTTTGAACCATCTTTGCTAACATAGGTAGCCTTATTTGCTGATGGAACAGAATCGTCAGAAAGGTTATACTTCAGAAACTTAACCTTTTTTTTCTTTTCAAGCCTCCTCCCATCTTTTCGTTTTCTTTCTCCACCATCTTCTGTCAACTGTATTGTGTGGGCAGCAGCAACAAATGCAGCATTCATGGAATAAGTCTTTTCATCTTCCTCGTTCCCATCTTTTTCTTCCCCTTTGTTATCTATGTAAAAGAGGAGATCAGCATCCGCTTTATTCCCATCTGTTTTATATGCTGATTGCCCGTAGTCTTCTTTTGAATTGTCAAGTACTAATTGGGCACGATGTTTTGACAAGCTGCCATCAAGTAATCTTATCCCTTTGTTCTCTAGGCGAACCAACCACTCTGGATGATCAAACGATTCAAACCAGATGCATGTATCAGACTATTATCAGTTATAACCATCTACTCCAATTCATTGCGTATAGGTGTGGTTAGAGGTTAAGAATACCAGAGCTACTTACTTAAAAAGGCCTTGGGAGAAGATCCATTTGGTCCACTGTCTTTGCTCTCCATCCCAATCTCACTTGTGACCCATTTCATTAGTTGGGAATGCAAGTGAGAACCAGAGAACGCAGTTGTGTAAGAGAGAGCTTTTGTCTGATGCCCCTGTTTCCTGTCACAATGCAAAAGGTGACCGTTTGATTAGATTCTGCAATTACAGTTAGATTAGGATTGTTCAACAATGATATCCACCTCGTATTACCTAAATAACTCTATGGCTTCATGGGTAACCATCAATCTTGCAATAGCAAGCCTTCTTATGGTCTTGGCAGATAAATGATCCACAATGTAAGGATTAAGGAAAGCATACTCCACCAATATCACGGCATCATACAGAACTTCTCTCATAAAAACCTCATCTTCCAAATTCTGTAGACGTGTAAACAGGATATTATATGCTCTTAGATTATCAATGAAGAGTAGATTTTACCATTTGAAAAATGAAGAGTAGATGATCAAACCCATCAATGCTAATGAACAGTTTGCAACAAACAGCTAATTCTATTACATTTCAAAAACCAATGGCCAGAAATCAATAAACTTCTTATCGGAAAAAAAGAAATCAATAAATAAACCTGCAGATTTCAATTGCAACCTACCATCTAAAGGACAATCTCTTCTTGTCAACCGTCCATGGTTTATGAAGAAAAGCAAGACAAGAAATATCATATCACACATTTTGGGCTCAGCTATAAGAAGGAAAAAAAACATGGTACGGAAAAACAAAGGAATGCAAAACTGCACTTAAGGGAGCTCTGATTGCAAAATTGTCTTTACAGGAGCTCTAAATAACTGAACAAATGGAAAAAAAAAAAAAACTAACTCAACCATTCGTAAAAAGCTTACTAACCAATAGGCAGGTTACCGGCAAAGTTGGGTCCAGCAGCATCCTCACCAGGGTCTCTGAACACAGGAAAATTTTAAATGTAAGGACATTGAATATGAATCAAGCTGAAAAGTAAAGTCAGATAAACACTACATACAGAGAAAAAAGAGTCTATTTTTCACTGAATACTGCTGTTTTTGTATGAGTTTGGTTTGCATATTTTCTTGTTTCCTAATGCCATATTACAATTTCATGAATCCACCATATTCAAGCAAAAGCAAAAGAGAATGCCAACCGAAGAAGTGGATGTTTTGAAAACCAGTAACGGAACCAACAGCCCAAGTCCTCAATTCATTCTTCAAGTCCATTTTCATATCCCCCTCGCAAATTCCCAGCCACAATTTCAGCAAAAAAGCCTCCAAAATCACAACCCCAGCTAGCTCACTGATTCCGCATTCTCCATTATGCAACCATTCAACAATGTCAACAGTCAAAAGCGGGAAAAACACACTCAAACCCTCCACCCCCTTTTCCACCAACCTATCCCCAATCCAAACACTAACCAAATCCTCCAAAGGCATTGTCATATTATCTGAACCCATTTGTAACTTGTCCGAATCACCATCACCTCTTAAACCCTCACAACACACATTAATATACCCAAGAATCACATCAACCAAAGCCTTGATCTTTCTCATAGCTTTTCTCTCGGCCTTAAAACCCATATCTTTTTCCTTCAAATCAATAATAACACTATACAAATTACATAAAACCGGAGCCATTAACGCAATACTTTTTGAAGAACTAGAGGAAACAGAACAAGAAGAAATCAACTGAAACAACTCTTTTGTAACTGCAAGTCGATCAAAAGACCGCTCTTTTTGTGAACTAAGATTGAGAAAGGTCAAAGCTGAGTAAACCCAGATGGTTTCAAGCGGTGGGTCTATCCTAGATTGCAGTAGTTCGAGAAAAATTGAGGCAAAAACAGAGGAATCGAAGTTGGGTTCATGAAGTGAATCTAAGAGGGTTTGAATCGATTGGTTTAGTGCAAGTTCGTAGTTTTGGCCCAGGAAATTACTGAAGTTGAGGCGTATTTGGGAGTCCATCGCTGATAAAGCCGTTGGATTGGCGATCGAATTTGAGAATAGAATGAGATTTGAAGGTGATGAGCGCAAAACCCTAGTCGAGGGGAGTGAGAAATTTTAGGGTTTTAGGGGATAAGCTTGGTTTGTTTTTTCTGCGTCGTGTGTTTGTTTCATTAGGGAAATGAATATCTTTGAGCTAAACTAATTAGCTGCCCCTCGTATTTGCTAAAATGGCAAAACACCTTGTAGGGAAATTTTTCTTTCTTGCTAAAATGATATTTATAATTTTATAATATAAAATATGACAGATTTTAATAAGTTCATCTGACAGTCTTAAATAGACTCATCTAAGAGCAATGCTATTAGGACCTAATTTACTGATCTAATTCACTATAATCTTTGAATTAACTGTAGGGTCCATCAAATATTAGAACTTGATGTTGACCCAATAATTCTACTAAAATTACATTACTATATCAACAAATTATGTCAAATTTTTAGATCTAAATAGTGTTACTCTTCATCTAATAGTCATCAACATCTCTCTCAAAATCATTCATATTTCATCGTACCTTCAAACACGGGTTATTCATAGTAAATCACTAATCCAAGATAACTCAAGTGGTAATAGAAATAAACTATAAATTTAGATGTTTTGAGTTCAAATTTTAAAAATATCTTGAGATTAAGCAGGAGAGATTTAATTCTCATGAATACTCTAATTTCAATATAGATGATCTATTTTTGGTTGAACTAAAGAGAAAATTAATCAAAATACGCATATATTAACTCAAATATCCCTGAATGATGAACCAAAAATAATAATAAATCACTTGGGCTAGCAATGAGTATTGTTGTTTCATGTTGTTTCTTACCAAAATTTATCATACCGATCAACTTATTTATAGCCCAAATTAAACAAGATTAAATTCATACTCAAAACATTTTTTTTCTTGCTTTTATATTGAATTAATTAATCATACTAAAAATTATCAATCATATTAAAAGTTGATAAACATTTAAGTCAAGTGATCAAAGTAAGTGGGAGTTCGAGATATAAATTAGTTTGTAAGTATAGGCATAATTTACTCAAGTTGAACTCAAAAATACAAAGAGCATAAAATATCATTAATTAGTATAATTACCTTGACTGAAGATGCTTGAAGGAGTAGAGTGAATACAAAGCTTAACTCTGAACATTTCTTCACATGATTCTCTTAAATTCAAACCCAATCTTGTAGTTGCTAGGTCGATGCATGCAATGGCCAGGAACTCCCATATTAAAATGAAGTTTGACAATCAGAACTAGCAATGTATCGTGTAGAATAATGAAGTGCTTAAATCATGGGAAGCATATCGTGTCAAAGTTCACTACGACTCATTAGTAATGTATATTTCAGTTCCCATTGCCTCAGGCGTGGCAAAGCAACTAAATTATATATATACATATACATATATATATATATATATATATATATATATATATATATATATATATATGTATATATATGTATATGTATATATGTATATATATGTATATGTATATGTTTAGAGAGAGAGAGAGAGAAGCAACCTATGAACAGCAGCTGGAAAACTTGAAACTTACTAGACCCAAAACATGAGCAAAATGAAAAATCATTTACAGAAAAAACAAAAGGGACACCAGATCTTGGACAATGAATTAAACTAGAGTAAATTTGAAATAGTTACAATGTTATATCTAACATTTTGAGAAATAAATATAAGTTACACATGCTACAATTTGAAAAATGCAATCTTCTCCTTGATTCGTTCTCCAATAATGTCGCAAGGCCCCAATCCCGACCCCCACAAAAACAACATAAGAACAAAGATCCATATTGAAGGAAAGCAAGAGGAGACAGAGAGAGACATTGACAACGATGAGCTCTTAAAAATAATGTAACCACAAAACAGCTATCGCATTCTGTAATATTGAGTTCTTGAGGCAAGGCACCGCCGACCATTTAATGAATACTTGAGCATAATGTCAACATCACGGGGATTCTTTTTGTTCGGTGCCACAGTCATGCTCCCAACAATGGCCTCTCCCTCGCATACAGTTAGCACATCTTCAAGGTACAGAACCGTTTGCTTCCAATGTGTAGCCCGTGATTTTGGCCCTGCATATTTATATTTTTAGGCTCAACAACACAGAATACTAACCAAAAGCTACTTGAATTATTTAATATATGTAAACCGTAATGATCATATACATGAAACAGGTCCTTAATGCATTAATTTAATCACTTGGCCCCTGAATTAATTGAGCAAACAAAGCAATGGGTTTCACACTGGTATTTAAATTAAAAACATTGTCATAAATATAAAAACAGGACGTCATCCAGATTGAACCAGACTGAATTCCCACATGAAAAAGTTAAATTGACCAACCTTTTGTGGTGGGTCAGCTGCAGCCATTGAAACACACATTATATGAACTCACAAGATGACTGCCACTTGATACATTAGAATACTAAATTTAGGCATAAAAAGGGGATTTATTTGATGTGTCTAAAGTCTCGGCAAGAAAAATGACTTTCCTTTCAAAACCCTATAACCATCAACTTGTCCCTACACAAACTTACCCAATCAAGATTTTGAACAAGAATAAACAAGTGACAGAAGAAGGTAAAGGACAAACAAACTAACCTGTAGAGAAGCCCATTAATTTATGGCACTTAGTAAAAGACACGTCGAAGTAGGCTACAAGAGCATGTATGTAATCATCACGTTCCGCCACAAGCTTAAAAGGAGCAGTGAAGGACACATCCCCAGCAGCCATCTTAGAGATATCCATAGTCTGTACAAGTAAATCAACTCATGTCAGCACAGTTTAATTTTTTTCTAAAAAAAAAATAATGTAGAGGCCAATCAGAAGAAAATTCCAATCACAATATTACTAGGTTAGAAGGGTATATAACTCCCACCTTGAGTAACTGGGAATTTGTAACAATCTGATTCTGGTCAACCGTATCAACAAGAGGTTCCATCATGGCTTGCTTCCTGATGCACTTCATGTCAAAGCCATATACATTGTTCCAAACTGCAGTTGCATGCAGATTCCAAGGAAAAAGCAAATATATCAAAGCAATAAAAAAGCATAGGAACTTTACAAAAAGAGCACATCAACTCATCAAAACCTTTTCAGGACTCAACTGATCTGAGTAAAAGAGCTGTGCATACCCATGTGTATGAATGTGAGTGTAGAGGCAAACAACATTCATCGAGTACAATAAATGCAGGAGGTGAATAAGCTCACATTCAATTTTGTCTTCTTTGTAATCTGCATCCTCAATGGCTGTCAAATAGAGAGAAGCTTTATCCGGTAGTACCAGTCCACTGCTAGCCTGAAAACAGAACACACAAGTTAGCACAGAATAGAAAGACTTGGATTTGTGATTCCAGAAGGCTATAAACTATAAACAGCTATTAGTGTCATCTAGGCAAGAGTATAACCACATAATCTGAGTACGTGAAAGGCAACTCACTAGCCATTTGTTACGAGCATACAGGACAGTATCTAACATGTTCTCATACAGCAAAAAATATCCCATCCATTCAGAAATTATTATATCCACTTGAGCAACTGGAAGCTCAATTTCTTCAACCTTTCCCTTCAGAACTGTTATGACTGTAATTGTGAAAAAGCAAGAGAGAGACACAAAAGGCAGAATCAGTTGAGAAGTAAACCCAAAAGAGGAAACAAATTTCTTCAAACTTATTGTTACAGTGGCCATTACCATTTGAAAATCCGTTTGACTTAACAATTTCTTGTGCCATGTCGGCCATGCTGGAGCACTCAACCTACCTCGATACATAAACCAAGGGACAAACCATTAGGATGAGCATTCCTAAAGAGCGATTTTAATATTTATGCGTTCTGGTTATACATTTAAGCTTAAGGAAATAGTAAATAACTAACAACAACATAATTATTCTTGAGCACTAATATTATTAGATTACTGATGAGTTTAACTAACATAACTACAAAATAAAAGTCAAAGTTATGTTCACAAGTTTATGTCATGACAATGATGGTTGATAAAACCCTTGCCATCCGAATGAGAATCATAGGAATCGTTTTAATTGTTAATTAAGGATAATAAACTAATCACCATACACCAGCTCCCAATCCTTGTACGGAGAAGACTAGATATTATCCATGCATCGGCAAATAGAGATTGTAAAGCTCATGGTTAAAGCAATGAATTCATGCACATGAGAGATTTTAAGATACTTCAACTGACATGATGATATAGGCAATTAGACCTCTTTAAAGGTTGAACAGTTGATTCAAGAGTTAGTGTAGATAGGGGATTCATCATCACCAGATCAAGCTTAAATACTGATTCAACTCTCAAAGACTTGAATGCTGAACTAGAGCAGCTAACACAAAACCAAATGCTATTTTCTAGGAAAATAGATTAGGGATATCTTTTCAAGCAACCAGGCACATCTGGAATGAGTTGATAGTGTGCAGCATAAATGACAACTCAAAAACAAGAAGACACCCACAGAGATTGTTTATCAATTGCCATTAATGAGATACTAAGAAGATCAATGCTTGTTCTTTCCTCCTCACTTCTAATATCATATACAATCAATAAAAAAATTTCTTATTAAAAAAGGATATTGAGGAGAAAAGCATTTCAGAATCCCTAGAAGAGACTGATAATCGTGAATATAGCTTAATGGGTGTAAAGACAAAATTTAATCAATCAAACCATCAGGTCAGTGCTCTTGCATTGCATAAATCTTTTCTTTATTCAATGAATAAGTGAGTGAACAAAAAATGAAATATCTAAAAATGTCTAGTTTCTAGGCTCACCAATTTTACCATCTCTTAATTATGTCAATTCTACTCGACCATTATTACAAAATTCAAGAAGAAGAAAAAAAGAAACTCTATGAATCAAGAAGAGGGTGGAAAGGAATTACAATTGCCACCAAAAGCGAGCACCACAGAGAGAGAAAGTGAAATGCATACCGCATAAACATGTTTTGCCCCAGCTTTTGCACAAAAGAGCGACAAAATTCCTGTACCAGCACCCACATCAAGGACTACCTTGTCCTTGAAAAGAAAGGTATTTTTATATATTACATTTTGGTAAGTCTTAGTCCTTACTACATCCTTCAACATTTCCTGCAATGCGGTGAAAATCAGAAGGGTAAGTCTTAAAAAAACTAGGGAACGAGCAAGGGGGCTAAAATGAACTAAAATATCAACATGAACAATCACAGCCACGAAACATTGAACTGATTTACACCAAATGCAGTAAACTTACTTCATGAATACCTGCAAAAGAAGAAACCAACAAAAAAGGGGAATAGTTAGTTCTGAAAAAGAATGAGAGCACACATAAAACCAATAAACAGCAAAAAAAATTGAAGCACCATGTAATGTTAAACATCAGACTCTGAAGAAAATTACCTAATGTCACGAACTTCACAAAGTATTGGCAAAAATACAATTCTGCATACTCTGTTCAACTTTAATCTAACAACACACAACGCAACACATATATACTTCCCTATTTGCTTTTTTATAAATATTTTGAGAAGTTGAGCAGTTAACAGCAACATGTGATGATGAATTCGAAATTTTGTAGAGTGCGTTGAAAGAAAAAAAAATCTTTAGAGACATTAATCCAATTGGTACGCAAGGGACTAATAGAAAAAGTCGACAATTTGGATATTTGAATCTGACGATCACTAATTCTTGAAGAAACCGGAATAAGCAAAAAAAAAAAGTAATATTTTTACTTCAAAGCTCGATAACTAGATACACAAACACATACATACAGAAAATAGAGACTAGTGAGGAATTAGAGATTCGTCATACCGAAGTGAGAGTAGGAATCGAAGTAATAGTCGGCGCTGGTCTTGTCAGCGCCGATGATGGACTCGACGGGCTCGCACATGGCAGAGTCGTCCTCGAGGTTGGAGCTCTCAGTGGCTATTTCTTCTAGGATTTCGTCTTGTTCTTCGTCGTCGTATTCGAATCTGATCTTTGTTGGCCTGTGGTTGCTGGTACTGACAGAGTTGTGATCTTCATTGTTCTCTCTCATCAGATCCATTCTTTAGGGTTTTACGAATGGGGGGGCTCGAAGTAGGGTTTTTGCTGATCTCTGGCGTCTCAGAGCTTTATCTGTGTGCGTGTGTGTGGCTTTGACGTTGTTTTTGGCGGCGGATGCGAATTTACTAGCTAACATATTTTAATATTTTCATTTTAACCGTCTAAAAACTGAAAAAAAAAAAAATACACGTCATGTAATAATAATTAGAGGTAATAATTTATGATATAATATAAAAAAAGAATTCGAATTTGCCTTGAAATTAGTGAATTAGGGTTAATAATTTTTTAATGCGAACCTGTAAATGACATGATTTGTTAACACAAATAATAAATAAGTTGGATCAATATCAAAAACTAACAATACGAAACTGACTCAGTTAACAAATTTAACTAATATTATAAAGGGTTTTAAGGGGGTCGGTATCCTTTTTAGAAATTATAGGGTAGAAAGTATTACTTTTAAAAATATAAGTCAAAAAGTACTTAACCCCTAACAAATTTCTAATATACCCTCTTCAGTAGAATGAGAACCGATTCCTATATTTTTGTTTCCACAACCGAAATTTAAGGGATCTCAACTGTTACACATAAATCCTTTCAATATCGCCAGAACTCCATTCTTCCAAAAACTTCCATAAATCCTCATTTTGATTTTTCAAATCTTCTTGTTGATCGTTGTTGAAGAAATGATCTTTTCGAAACTTCACTATCTAAATTTTCACATTTGTCTGCAACTTAAAGACAACAACCAACCACAACTCGAATTTAAGGACAGAAGTTCTAGAAAATTTACCAACACTGTCGTCGATGACTCGGACGGATTGGAAAATTTCAGAGATCTAAAAGTCATAAGTTTTTTGGCACTTTTGGCTCTTCACTGGAGAATTGGTCGGCGGGAAAATTAAGACTTTGTTTAAGTGGGGTTTCATTAGGAATAATTGAGTTTGTTGGGGGTGATTGGGGGAGGGGTTTGGGAGAGGGTTATGTTATGGTATTGAGGATTTTGGGGGCGGAGATAGTTTTTTCTCTTGATAGGTTTTGATAGGAATGGAGTGAAAGTACAAAAAATTAAAAATGGTTTTCTGTGAATGGGAGTGGATGTAGCAGAAGGATGGGAATGGTTAAATTTTTTGGAAAAGAAGCGGATAACTTAAGAAAAATGTTATTTTTCTCAACGTTTTTAGTTTATCTACTTTTTTTTTCCCTCAATTACCTTTCTACTTCTAGTGTTTGGTAATACATGCACACCAAGTGTTCGATCATTTGTCAAAAAAAAAAAAAAAACCCAAAGATGTCATCTACATTGTGATATGCTTTATGTCAATATATGCAGTGTGACATTGACTTGCAATAGTGTGAAATTGGTTTGTAGCAGTGTGAATTTGGTTTGTAACAATGTGACATTTTCTAGTACTAGTGTGATATTGTCTTGTAGCATTGTGACATTATTGTACGAGACAGCAAATCATCCTCCGAATCAGGATCATCATCTTGATTATTACGATCATTCTCATTTGAGTCATCATCATTGACATTTATTCTCACATGAACATGATTAACATTAAGAGACCGTAACAATTTAAAAAAAAACATATGGACGACATTGTAGCACTGTGATATTTTCTAGTATCAGTGCGACATTGTCTTGTAACACTATGACATTATCGTGCGAGGCAGCAAATCATCCTCCGAATCAGAATCATCATCTTGATTATTACGATTTATAAAAAAAATATAAATTATCCAAATATGGAAAAAGACATGAATGTTTGAAAAAACTTAAGTTAAATGAAATAGAAAGATATAATTTAAAATTCAAAAATGTTATTTCATAAATTTAGGAACTGAATCTCTAATATAACTGTCATATTTGTCTCCCATTAATAAAGGAAAAGGGACAATTTCGTAAGAGAAAAAAATGTTACACACAAAGTACTTATTACCAATATGTTTTATATTGAGGTACTTTC